ACGTCGGGTAAATAGGACACCAAACATGTCAAGCCTTAAAATTGCTTGTGCCCGCGAAAACGGAGAAAATGACCAGTCCCAAAATTGTCCATAGGCAATGATTTAAAAGCTTTTAGCGCTCATAAGTGTTATAGAAATTATTATACGCTCCTGCGCATTTAAATCTGCTGCGCTAAAAAAAACACAGTTCTCAGCTCTTTTTGTATCATTTGATCGAGCGCGCACGGCTGTACCAAGTGAAGACAGACACAAGCTGTTGTCACGTTGGATCCTCAGTATATATTTCTTTCCAAGGGAAGCGAGATCCGTTTATTTATAGGGATAACAACAGGAAGTGGTGGCTCCGACAGCCAATCAATTCCTCAATACATTTACATAACACAGAGTCAGCCAATGAGACACATGTATACATCTGAATAGACAATAGAAAGGGGAGTATATGCTCGTGCACAGCTCACAGCTGCTAGTGCATGTGAATTAAACCATGTGCAACAGAGTTCCCGCCAAAACACTACACAAAAGAACCGTGGACGCCGTTCCAACCAGACCCGCGCATATACTCCTGCCACTGGAGCGAATTCTACCAGGCATTGTTCAGTGAAAGATGCCCAGCAGGATTATACTACGGTTCTCATGAATGCGAGTTTATCTGCAGGGACAACGCCATATTATTTCCAGCGCGTTGATCAGACGCACCAAAAAGACACAAGAGTATGTTCCTTTCATAAAGGCAGATATGTATCCGAATGATACCACGTCCCCAAAGCAAATGCATCCACGCCAAGCAAATAACTCTGCACAGTACGCAGGGCCCTGGCCGGCGTCCATACACTCGCTAAGAGGACACCGCTCCGCAACGCACATTAATCTTCCCCAGCCAACAGCCCAGCGCATAAGACATGGACCATTCGCCGGCGGAGATCCCTGCGCGTTGCGGCTGCGTCTCCACATCCATAGGAAGATATTCACTCCAATGGTTTACACTCAGTGCTGATTAATCCTGGCCATTCTCCAATAGAGCATAGCCCAGCAAACCTGACACTGAGAGACATGATGACAATATTCACATATACAATATACTAAAAACACATCCTAATAAAATTTCCACAACAACAATTTATTGTGATCAGTAATTAATGGCCCCAGAATTATTACTCTCACTCCGACGTTCGCGGCAATATGTAACATGTGGGGGGGGGAGGGGGCGGGGGACTTTTAAAAGCTTCTTTATTTTTTTATATTTTGTTTTTACACTTAGCCCCTATGTGATAGCAATAAAGTTAAGAAACCCCTATGTGAAAGCCAATTCACATAACCGGTCCTCTTTATGGAGGTCTCCAAGATCCCTAATATCACCTAGGGACCCAGAGAAGCTGCTGAAGCAAAGATCTGCTTCAGCAGCTTCTCACCTACATCTGTAGCCGGAGAGTGACACTGAATGCGGACGTGATGTAATATACATCATTTCCTGCATTCGGTGACCGGAGAGAACCCAGATCAAAAGGGAGATGTGTACTGATCTCCCTTTGATCTCCACTGAGAGAGTCGCCACGCCATGGGCACAGCAGATCTCGGGACCGGCAGCAACGGCAGGGGGGTACACTCCCACACCTAATACGTTTCTAGAGACGCCCGATCGCTTGAAAGTAATAACAGCCATCGCTGGCTGTTTAGATTTCTAACAGTTTCCACACTGGTGTGCGCTGCACACGAACGGGGGGAGGGAAAGGACGTCTTAAGACGCCCTCCCGCTCCTATAAGGCTCCTGTCTGGCCGTTCAGGAACGGCCATGGACGGGAGGTGGTTAAACAACTGAGCGGAGCCGGCTCCACCCAGTTGTTTTTTTGCCTGGAACCTGCTAGAAGACTCTGGCAGGTGTTGGCCAAAAGTAAACAGTTGGGTGGAGATAGCGGTGATGTCACTGCTAATTCCGCCCAATTGTTTATATTTTACCCATCATGGAGAATGCTGGATGTCGTGCTTGACCTGAGGATTACGTCAGTGGATCCATTTTTTTTTAATTTCAAAAAAGGACTTGTCAAAAAGCCTTTGTTTTGGTTTGGTAAATAGAGCTAACTAGAGGTCATGTAAGATATTAAGGCCTTTAACTCAAGGTAACTAAAGTTTAGAGGCATAAAATCGTAAACAGGTTTTCTGACCTTGGCTTAGGGAACAATATGTTCAATGCCAAGACAGCTGTCCTCTAACCTTGATGTGGGGAGCCTTATCAAGACAAGAAGGCTCATCTAATGTTCTTGGCACAATCAAATATGAATTACAGGTGGCATTACTATCTGATTTTTGTAAATAATTTAAGGTAAACACAGATGACTTTACTGTTCAAAACCCTAAAAAAAAAAAAAGGGGCCTGCGAGCCCATATTATTTTAACTTTGCTGCATGTTCCCAGCTGGCCAGCTGAAATACATCTAATTTGAAGCTACCCCTTTTGAGTGGTTGCTGATCAGTTTAACACTTGAGGAAATTTCCTCCTTCACATTAATTTGGTGCCTTGACTTGGATTGCAGAGGATCGCAGGACCTGAGGTCTAGCCGACATACAAATCTTACAGATAAAGGGCCCCGGTGAGTGGTTTATCTCACTATTAAATGTCTGGTTGGTTTTGTACTGACAGTGAGAACACACAGAGAACACAGAGCTTGTGAGTCAAAATGCAATTCAAAGAACCAGGCAGGGTGGTTATATATTTTTTGTCTGTCCTATATGTGTCACTAATTTTGTGTGAGAAGCTTTGCAGCCAACAAATAATATTGCATAGTAAATCCTCTGGAGCGGGGCAAGGACAAAGGGCTCTATGTGTCCCGATAAATTCTATCGGGGATTCCCGCGGGCAGTCCAGGAGACCGTTGAAGATCAATCGCAATGCCTGTTGAATCCCCTCCCCCTGTATAGTTTCCAGCACTCTGCAGATCCGAATGTTCGATCTGCGACCTCTATTGTCGAGATCCTCAATATGTCTGTGCATTTCAATCATTGCGCGGGTCGAAGCAATATTATGTTCCCGTAGATTTACCGAGGCACAGTCTTTCCTCTTCTGCCCATTCCATTGTACGAAGCTTGTGGCCTATGTCTAAGATCTCTTTCTTGAGGTCGGAGATCGCAGAGATGAGCGAGGCTTTGATATCACCAGCTATGGAGGAAAGGTTATCATACAGTGGGAACTCGATGGCTCCAGTTGTTGCAGACTGGGCGCCATATTGGAAGAGAAGCCTCTTGGTGCTGCAAGTGGAAACTCTCCGGTATTTGTTTGTGGAGTTCAGTCCCTGAAGTCGCGGAGATGGGTGGAGAGGGTGGTAAGGTAAAAGAGGTGTAGAGTGCTTAGTGAGGGATTCTCGATGTTGGAGCTAAGAGATTAAGCAGCCATCTTGTTTGCGGCGGAAACCATGCCCCCATTACTACTGTGATTGTGTTTTTTTTAATTATCACATGTTATGGGACGCATAGCAATGCTTTTATATATACATGGCAGAAACACATTTATAATATTAGCAGTGAACAGTTTCATTTACAGGAAAAACATTACAGCAAAAATCTATAATCATTTGTAGTAAACTGGATAATTAGCTGGATAATTTCCAGTTTTCATTGAAAAAGAAAGCGGGGCTTTTAAGGACAACATATCCAGACCCACTTGTTAAAAATGATTCCATCTTTAATAAATATTTAATTTGTAAAAACATCATACAATCTTGACTAAAATCAATATATATTCTGGAAGCATTTGGTCATTTTTGTACTGACTACACAATGAGCGATTCCATTTTTTTCTGAATTGGGATTATGTATGTGGATACGGAGGTTTCGATCACCAGAGACCTAGAATACTAGGGAGATCACAGTATTCAACTGCATGAGACAAGGTCTTTACCTGACAAGCAAAACTGGTGAGTGTATTACCTTCAGGGGTTCGTTCTAAGCACAAGGAGAGGATCGTTCTAAGCACAAGGAATGGATTCACAGCACAAGATTGATTTGACACACAATGTTTTGAGCCTTATGCACTGGACTTTGAAAGCACTTTTGTATCTTTATGGATAATTGATTTAGGATATAAAGATTTATTATTATATTATAATTCAATATTTGATGTCACTCTATGCACTGGCACTATTAGACTGTTTATTGGGTGTGTAAAGCAACAATCTATTTATAGTTATATATATTTTTCAGCACAATTATATTTGTTTTCTACACAATTTTATGGAAAAGGAATTTACGCAGTGCAACTATTTGATACAACATATACAGACCCACTTATTAAAAATATTTCCATCTTTAATAATTATTTCATTTGTAAAAACATCATACAATCTTGAATAAAATCAATATTTATTCTGGAAGTATTTGATCATATGCTGGTCCATACATATTCCCTGTATATGACTTTTCTAATAATTCTTCAAAATACAGCAGATAAACCATAAATGGTATAGATGACATAAAACCCCATTCAGGGCATCTATATGTAGTCCTCAACGTGTTTCACCAAATATGGCTACCTCAGGAGGATGAACACATCGAATGTAAAACAGCTTGTTAGACCAATAATAGAAACATAAAGGTTGATTAGTTTCACCTTTTAAGTTGCATTAGTGAAATAAGTGAACTTTGCACGATATTCTAATTATTCGAGTTTCACCTGTATATATAGACCAGCATATGACCGAATGCTTCTAGAATATATATTTATTTTATTCAAGATTGCATGATGTTTTTACAAATGAAATATTTTTTAAAGATTAAATACTTTTAACAAGTGGGTCTGTATATGTTGGCTTTAAAAGCCCCCCTTTCTTTTTCGGTTGAGACAGGGAATTATCCAGCTAATTTATCCAATTAACTACAAATTAATGTTATGACTATTACAGGGGTGTGACCTCCCTTCACTGAAAACCATGGTAATATGTATCAAGCAAAAATCTATAACTAAAATGTATCACTGTATAGTAAATATTTCACATCGCTATATACTGTACTTACACTGCAGCATACAATCCACCACATGCTGAATGGATGAAACCTCTGACCATTGTATGAAGGATAAAAGTGAAGAACTGAAAAAAAAAAGTTTGATTTTTAACAGCAACATGTTAGATACAGAGCTACAAACAATTTAAAATGTCTAAGGATAACTTAACATTCTTTTTAAAACTGATATTTCAGCTATGAGTAGATTGTATGGAGCTTTTTTCACACTGTGGAAGTACCTTTCCCCCTTTTTTAGCCACCATGTTGCATATTCCTTTGTCTCAGCAACACATTTAGTCTGAATTTAGGTCATTATCATAGGTGTGCGCATGGGGTGTGCCTGGGCACACCCTAATCACCCCAAGTGCAATGCCATTATATAGAAACTACTGCTGTGTTTTTGATCACTGAGCCAGTGGAGAGCTCACAAACATCTCTCTGACCGGCACAGCAATGCATAGGGTTGCCATGCCACCTGTCCCAGGATTCACATAACCGTTCCTTTAGCACTCACTTTCAAATTCTTTAGGCGACCAATGGGAGCATGTGTGGGCTAAGTTAGTAAAGAACCGACGAGCTGCAGTGGTATTCCGATCGCGGTCAATAATGGAGGCCGATGTGATGCAGAGACTGGACCAAAGCTGAGCATCAGTGCTGGCCAGGTCCTGGGGTACGTGTGTATGGGGGTGGGGGAAGGCGCAGCAAGTATGCTGTGGCAAGCTCTGTTTGGGAATGTGTGCCCTAGGGTCACCAGGATGGCAGCCATCAGCAATTGTCATCAGAGGCAGAAGGATGCGAGTTGCCATTGTTGAAATGCAGAAGAACTGCAAGATTCAGCTTAGTGCTACTGCATTTGGACAATTGCAACTCGCTTCCGGCTAGTTGCAATTTTTGCAAAAGTCAATGCGAATATATCATTAGCATTGACTTTGTCCTGAAAGAGGGTCTTCAGTGTTGGAAATTGGCTACCGCCTAGTGGAGCACCATATGTTCCAGCATGTCTTGGTAGGCAGACATCGTCATATCATGCTAGTGTCTCTAGTTACCTAGAGTTAGCTGTAGAGTATTTGCTGGCTTTCTCTGTTCTGGATGTATCAGATTCTATATTTGTAGCATGATTACTGGGGTTACGGTCATAGGCAGTTGCATGGGTGTGCCTGGCCACACCCTGATTACCCCCAGCGCAACACTGAAACCGTAGGCACCGTGTTTTTAGTCACTAAACTGGTAGAGGAATCAAAAAGATTTCTCTGTGACACGCATATACATATACATATATATATTTGTGAGCAGGCGATCGGTAGCTAGTACACAAGACCCCCAGGGAATAGGCAGTCTCTTGGGCACAGATACCAAATCCAAGGGAGTAGTGGAAAACAGTGCAGTGTTTATTGGTGATATTTACAAGTCTCCACAGGTGCTGTACAGTGGTTCACAAAAAAAGACTAACAAAATAAAACCTAGCCGTATCCCGGCACTAACTTCATAAACCAAAGTATAAGTCCTAACTAACAGGCTGAGCAAGCCTACCGCTTGTCAGCCTCCACATACACCATTTGCTAGTTTTGCTACAAACCATGCAGCTCTCTCAGACAGGAGAGTGCCAGTGGAGAGAGGAGTAAACCCTGCCCTGGAGTCCGGATCAGCAATTCCTAAATGTATAGGAGAGGAACATATATATATGTAGGAAAATTGTATACTTACCTATCAGTAATTTTCCTTTCCTGACGCCAATACATGGCAGCATACAACGGCTCTACCCCCAGCCCAATCACAGGACCAGTTATACTATAAAATTAAAGCCCACCTCCCAAGGCCACCATTCTCGTAACAAGTACTCAATGCGAGAGCCATGGGAGGGTCCTGTATGCTGCCATGTATTGGCGTCAGGAGAGGAAAATTACCGATAGGTAAGTATACCATTTTCCTGACACCTACATGGCAGCATACAATGTGATTTAGCGATCACGCAACCAGGGAGGGTAATTCTGAGATATGTATTTATTTGTACCACTGGTAAACATTTTCAGAACCAAACTTCACCATGGACAAGACTCCTGGATAGACCCTGTGATGAGAGAGGAATATATACCATGTTACTGCCTTCCAGAATAACTCTGGAGATACACCACTAAATTCTATGCGTAAGGGTGACATCCTTCGGAAGAGCGAACCCAGAGATTAATCTGTGGCTCCATCTGCTTGACCAGGAACAATGCATGTGACCTAGTGCATGCAGAGTGCTAAATTTCTAAAACCACAAGAAAGATGAACATATCGACCTGAAAGAAAGGGTAACCTCCATGTTCTTCCCAGCATAGTAGCCACATTTTGGGCATGAGCTGAAACAAAAACTTGATTCTGGAATACTGGCAACATTGAGGTCCTATTTAGATGGAAGGATCTTCCAACCTTTGGAAGATGCTGGGAGAGAGATTTGGGACTACCTTGTCTGTGAAATGGTAGCAATAAGGTAGTTTGCAGCCTAATCTTGACTATCCAACATCGCTTAACCCGCCCCCCCCGAGTAGATTGCTGTAAGAAAAGCTATTCTACACGTTACTGTCCATACTGAGTAAGTGTGATCTAGATGAAGTCAAGGAAGGAAGAACATATACAACACGATCTGTAAATACTAAGGGAAAGAAGAGACTCTTCTGAAGAGTGAATCTTTGCGCAAGTCCTTAAGAGCTGTCTTATCAATTATGAGCTACCCATTGTGTTTCAGAGGATGAATATAGAGGGTACGGACACCCAAGCACATATTGCTTGCCTGAAGAAAGTCCAATATGTGATTACAAGGTGAAGAGAGACAACACCTATTAAACTTGCAAAGTCTATGAAATTATTCCACACTGTAGAATATATGTGATGTTTAGTAGGTGCTCTATTATTCAACAAACACTCATTGACTGAAGATGAGTAATCCAGGCAAGGTAGACTTTACTTTCAACCTCCAAGCCGCTTAAAGGACATTTCCACCTTTGTAAGTGATTTGTGTTTTTTGTGGTAATGTAGAGGTGCAGGGGGATGTATATGTGTGTACTGTCAGGAGTCACAGGGCTGTTTTTCATACTTTATTTAACCACTTGCCGTCTGCCCGTTGTAAAAAAACGGACGGACGGCACTGCAGCATTGGCGGGTTGCCATCGCCAGACGGCATTTTTTTTCTGCTCGCGCGCGCCCCCTAGCGGGCACGCACGGGCAGAAAAGACCCGACCAATGCAAACACCCGTTACCGGGTGTTTCACATATAGACGATCGGCGGCTCCATAGCCCGACGATCGTCTATATGTGCTCGTTTTTTTTTTTGTGTATTACATCACTTCCGCATTCACCTGTCAGTCATCTGGCTGCTATAGCCAGAGAAAAGAAGCTGATGAAGCAGATCTCTGCTTCATCAGCTTCTTTTGGGGTCCACAGGTGACATTAGGGGTCCTAGAGACCCCTAATGTCTCCATAAAGAGGACCTGTCAGTGTGCCTTTGCTATTATATAGGGGGATCGTTATCCCCCTATATAATAGCAATAACAATAAG